TCCCGATTTTCCAGATTGTATCGTTATGTAGTTTTCTTGGAAAGCTGTCTGTGATTGACAGTACTGGTCGTGTTTTTCATTCTACTGGGAACTCATCGGAATGGGAGCCGGACACGTCACTCTCAGGTACATTTGCGTCTATCGGAAAACTTCAAGTTAAGGCACAACAAGTCGCATGACCGCCTGGTTTTGCCTTGAAACCCTTCGGACGGTCTGAGGTGCTAGTACTTGTCGCTCTTAAAAATGTGATATGCAACAAGAACCCTTAAGGTCGCACCCAACTACCCAGCGGGATTCCGCGGTGAATGCTCCTGAAGGCGTCCTTGTGCAGAACTTTCGGCAATATTTACCCTTTGCCACTCCATTTTCCAAGGATGGGCTGGTTTTGTTTTATCAGCTGTGCTCTTCCTAGTGACACGGATATAATACAGTCTTCTTCGCTGCGGACGTTTAGACGTTCAAAGAGGACTGGGTTTGGCGCCGGCGCCAGCCTGTTCTTCATCAATTGTGCTAGCATGCCAGCTTTTGTCACCTCCCCCCCCCCCCCCCCGGAAACGCCTCAGCATCCGCAGCGAATAAGACTGTGTTTGTGATCAGAGATTTGCAGGTCTTCATGGGACATGTGTGTGTCCTGGTACATACTCGGGAGCGGATTTGGGCAAAATTCAGGATAAATTTAGGGTAACATTTTGCCATCTGGAGGGCGATGAGTGTCGGGCTTGATGGCACATGTTGATACTCTCCATCTACCATTTGGCTTATTTTCACCGCGTAAAAAGGTGTCATAAACTCGCAAGCCGTTTTTAATGTTTCAGGGGCTGTATGTTCCTTAGCTCATAGCAAACTGGGCAGTTGGGCTATCACTTGTGATGGCCTCATTCTGGTGAAGCTGAGCAATGTGAACAACTGGGTAACGATAGCTGCACCTCCTGATCTTCCGCCAGAGGTCACACCGTCGCAGGTTAGTTAATGTGCAAAAAAGTCAAATGTAGCCTCTTGCATTCAGTTAGTTGTTCAGTTCCTCTATTTTTATATGAAATTCTCGTTTAGGTATTTTCCTCTCCAAATGGTATCTATGTCTGGATACTTGCAAACGGACGTGCATGGGCACGTGTAAACATTAATGACAGGAGTCCAAGTGGAGTGAAATGGACTGAGGTTTGAGATTACCTCTTTTTCGGTACTATTGTGCCTTGAAGGAATATATCTCTTTCAACGATTTTGTACCTACGTTGCACCCTACCTAGCTCTTTTCCAGTTTCTAATTCTGAGTGAAAATTTCAAAATCCTTTTGGAGCAAGGACTCCTATGTTTTGATCAGGTCTTACAAAATGTGTCAGACCTGTTTTGGTACATGTTGCTGCATACAAAATTTATTTATTTATCTGAATATTTATTTATTTACTTGTTTTATACAAAATCGTTTGTCACACGAGTCCTCATCGCGAAGGCAATCCCATACTTCGATCCTAGCCATCGTCGTCTCACAGTCTGAGACTACGATCGCATCTTGAGTCCACTCTCACTTCATACAGGGTCAGGCTGATCCCTCGGCTGAGCGGCCTGACTTCCAAGGCGAGACTTAAGTTCACCGGTTACACCATTTGGCACAGACAGTGAATGTATTACAGCTTGTTCATTTTTTTTTCTCTTCCTCTGTTTTTTGTGTTACTAACAACTGTGTTTTCGCAGTCGATGGAGCACGTCGTGCTAGCAAATAAATAAAAATAAACAAGCTGTAATACATTCACTGTCTATGCCAAATGGTGTAACAGGTGAACTTAAGTCTCGCCTTGGAAGTCAGGCCGCCCACCGAGGTGTCAGCCTGACTCTGTATGAAGTGA